TATAGTATCTAATATATTAAGTTATTAATGGGTACTATTTCGCGTACTTTCTGCGACCGTCACGCATAAGCTTGAACAACAGATTTATTGCTGTTCAAAAGACAACAGACAATAAGACAAGCCAGCGTGGAGTAAGGACAGGGATAAAAGAATACGAAGAGGATCAAACTTGCGGAGAAACAAAGGGGGTATGAATTCACGAGGGCGAGAACACGGTTGACCGACCTGATGCTCCTCATATATAGCTCTCGTCCTTCTGCGTCTTCCACTTTTCTCTTCTACGAGCTCCCATGATGTCAACGCGCCTCCTCTCCATCTCTCTCAGTCTCCACGTCAGCTCTCTGCTCTTCTTTACACCGTCTCATCCACCCTCTCCTCCTCTCTCTCCGTCTCCATCTCTCTCTCTCTCTCCTCGCTCGTCCATCTCTCTCAGACGTCCTCTCTCTCTCTCTGCGCGCTCTTCTCACCTCTCTTTACTCTCACCATCTACTCTGCGGCACGACTCTCTTCCCTTTCCTTCTCATCATCACATCTCTTTCTCTTTACCCGCCGCTCTCTCTCGTCGCTTATCATCAACTCTCCTTCACTAATATATATATATATATATATATATATATACGGATAGAAGGAAAGTACCGAATAGTGCATATAATAATTAATGTATACATATATATATATATATATAATATAATATATATAACTATAATATAAACAATTTCTAGTTATAATAGGGGCACGACATTGATTCGAAAATGGACGAACGGCGATGGTGGCGCTACCTGGCACTCGCTTTGCGAACTCGACCACTCGTGATATGGATGGCGTGATGAGAGACGCCAACTGCTGCCCGAAATACATCTTCTGCTGATCGATAGCATCCTGCGTGCTCAGCAGGTCTCCTTCGAACTTCATGCTCTGCGATAATAAAATATAGAACATGCGTATAGTCTAGGCCTACTTGTAGTAGACTTGTCGGTCTTCCCCCTCCACCATATTTAATTATATTATATGTAATTATTAATATGTATATATGTATAGAGAGAGAGAGAGAGAGAGAGAGAGAGAGAGAGAGAGAGAGAGAGAGAGAGAGAGAGAGAGAGAGAGAGAGAGAGAGAGAGAGAGAGAGAGAGAGAGAGAGAGAGAGAGAGGGTGAGAGACATATCGCAGTATAGATGTAGAGAATCAGAGGGAGAGGAACGACAGAGTAGACAGAAGGAGAGAACAAGAAGCCGACAGAGATGATTAGAGAGAGATGAGAGAGAGAGCAGAGATAGTGAGAGAGTGTTATATATAGAAGCGGCAAGACACACGCATCATGGACGTACGTGTGTGGTGTGTGTGTGTGTGTGTGTGTGTGTGCGTGTGTGTAAGTGGTGCGTGTCGTGTTGTGTGTGCGGTGTGTGTGTGTGGGGGGGTGCGTGTGTGGTGTATGCTGTGTGTGTGTGGTGTGTGTATGTGTTTTGTGTGTGTGGTGTTGTGTGTGTGCTGTTGTGTGTGTGTGTGTGGTGGCGTGTGTGTGTTGGTGTGTGTGGTTATGTGTGGTGGTGTATGTGTTGTGTGTGTGAATGTTGTGCTGTGTCGTCGCGTGGTGTGTATGTGTGTGCGTGTTGTGCGCGCATGACGCGTCCACTGACACGTAGCTATAATGATGCGCTATGCGATCTCTCTCTCTCTCATCTCTCTCTCTCTCTCTCTCTCTCTCTCTCTCTCTCATCATCTCCACTCTCTCTTCTCTCCTCCCTCTCTTCTCTATCTCTCGTCTCGCTCTCTCGTCTCGTCTCTCCCTCTCTCTCACCTTCTCCCCCCTCTCCTCTCGCTCCGTCTCCATCTCTCTCTCTTTCCTCTCTGCCTCGGCTCTCTCAAGTCGCTTCTCTCTCTCTCTCTCTGCATCTCTCTCTCTCTCTCTCTCTCTATCGGCTCTCTCTCCTTCTGCTCCACTCTGCTCTTCGCTTCCCTCCCCTCGCTCTCTTTCTCTCTCTCTTCTCTCATCATCTCTCTCCCTCCTCCTCTCTCCCTCCCTCTCTCTCTCTCTCTCTCGCGCCACGTACAAACTGGGCCGGCTTGCGTAGCATCAGTTTCATCTTATCCTCGGTGAACGTGCAGTTACTGCAGTGAGCCTGTGAGATGGTCAGAATGATGTCATAGATGGCCAGTTGTTTCGTCTCCAGCTCAGTCTGTCCGGGTTCCCCCGTCGTCGACACCCGCCGCTCTTGCTCCTCCTTCTCCCGGGAACGCTTCGGCACTCGCCCGTACCGGACGGCTGCAAGAAAGACGCGGAGAGAATGTTTTATGTGGAGAAAAAGTCTTCCTTTGACGACTATAGGTTTAATGGTTCCAGTGCTGTTAAAGTTTTAACGATCTATAGTCGCTCTCGCTTTTTAATACGCAAGCATGCGTGCGCAAGCATGTGATGTAGAGGGGAAATGGGAAGAATATATATATATATATGCGTGTAAACGGGGGGAACGAACGAGAGCAAATGTTGTGTTTTTGTTCCTGATGTGAACCGAGTTCGTTCAATCTGTGCGCGCGCGCGTGTGGTGTGTGTGTGTGTGTGTGTGTGTGTGTGTGTGTGTGTGTGTGTGTGTGTGTGTGTGTGTGTGTGTGTGTGCTGTGTTGTGTGGTGTGGTGCGCGCGCGTGCATACGTGTTGTGTACGTGTGTATATATATGGCGTGTGTGTGTGTGTGGTGTGTGTGTGTGGGTGTGTGCGGTGTGTGTGCGTGTTTGTATGCTGCGTGCATCACGTCGTATGTGTGTTGTGTGTGTGCGGTGTGTGTGCCGCGTGTGTGTTGCGCCGCGCGCGGCCGTTGTGTTGTGTGATGTGTCCGTGTGTGTGTGTGTGTGGTGTGTGCGCGCGTGATGTGTGGCGTGTTTTGTATGTGCGTGTGTGTGGTGGTTGCGTGTGTGTGTGTGTTGTCGTGGTGTGTGTGTTGTGTGTGTGTGTGTGTGCTGTGCCGCGGTGTAGTGCGTGTGGTGGTGTGTGTTGTGTGCGCGCGCGCCTGCGCGTAGTTTGTGTGGTGTGTGTGTGTGTGTGTGTGCGCGGGCGCAGTGTGTGTGTGTGTGTTGTTGTGTGGTGTGTGTGTGTGCGGCGTTGTGTGTGTGCGCGGTGTTGTGTGGCGTGTGTGTGTCGTGTGTGTGTGTGTGTGTGTGATGTGTGTGTGCTGTGCTGTATGTGTTGTAGTATATATGCAGTGTGTGCTGTGTGTGCTGTGTGTGTGTGTGCGGCGTGGTGTGTGTTGTGTGCGCGTGTGTGTGCGAGTGTGGTGTGTGGCGTGTGTGTGTGTTGTTGTGTGTGTGTGTGTGTGTGTGTGTGTGTGTGTGTGTGTGTGGGTGTGCGTGCGTGCGTGCGTGCGTGCGCGCGTGTGTGTTGTTTGTGTGTGTGCGAGTGTGTGTCTGGGTGGGGGGCGTATGTGCGCGTGTGTGTTGTTTGTGTGTGTGCGAGTGTGTGTGGGTGTGCGTGCGTGCATGTGTGTGTGCGCGCGTGCGTGCGCGCGTGTGTGTTGTTTGTGTGTGAGTGTGTGCGAGTGTGTGTGTGTGGTGGGAGGCGTGTGCTAGTAATTGTATCG